CTCAAAGAAACCGAGTCTGCAATTTTCATGAAATTTTGCTGTGATTAATGCTTCCGAGGTATCACCCATTCTCCAGATCCTTAAACTTCAAACTTAAGTTTCTAATTTTCGATGTCTTCTTTCAATTAATTTCACGCTTTATATATTACATACATTTCATATACAAAATTGGCAGTGCCGTTATTTCTGTAAACTAGACTGAGATTTTTTTGTACTTTTTAATTTTAATGTTGTACATCCTCACGAATACTCATATACTAGTAATTGTCTTTTTTACCAATACTATTATTATTGTTTTAGTTTTGTAACTTTATTGACCATTTACTTGCATTATTCATCAAAAAGAATTATTTGAGTTTTTATCTCAGTTTAAAAAAGCCCCTCACTTTAATAATTATATATTCAATATCTAATCAATTAATAGAAATACATATTAAATAAGACTTATTATATCAATATCAAGAGAAATGTAGGTAAATTGATTTGTCATAAAGTTAACATTTTTGTGAAGCCAAGTATATTTACTTTCTTTAATACAAAATTACTTTTTCGATTTCGAATTCATTAACATATTAAATGTTCTCCAATGTTAACATAACTGTCTTTGCAAATTAATGTCTTACTAAATGGTGCAGTATATGGACGCGACTGAATTACTAGTAATAACAGAACAGAACAGAACAGAACAGATAGTTTATTCAGATTTGTACATAGTACATCATCTTGTATATACATATCAATAATTATATATGTCAACGTGAGATACAATAAGAACAGAATTATTTTTGACAGTAATGGTAGTAATTTGAATACATATATATCAAAACAATTAATCATGTATTAGGAGAAAGAACATGTAATAGAGTTATCTTTCTACAGTTAATACTGAATTTCTTAAAGCAAGAGCGTTTTTGATGAACAGTGATAATTGTATGAGCTCGGTTTTTATCACAAGAATTCAAAAGTTTTGATAAAAATTTATAAACAGATGGTCTTTTGACGTAAATATCCTTTATGTATTTTTTTCTTAATTCTGAATAAAAGCTGCATATACATATAAAATGATATTCATCTTCTATATCTAAATTGGTTACAACATAAACAATATCGTTCATTACGGGGAATAAGGTTTCTATTAAATCTTCCTGTTTGAATTCTAAGGGGAAGACACTCATGCGTAATTTACAAAATAAAATCTAAATCCTTTTGGTAAAATATCTAAATATTTTCTCATATTCAAATGTACTTCTTGACATTTTTATAAAAGTATAAAGGGAACTATTTTCTAAGTTAGCAACCATTCTTGTTTAACAACATCCAAAAAGCGATTTTTTAAACTCTGTCAAAAATATATTCCTTATCTATGTAATTTTTATTTGATCAAAAACATATGAAAATCCATAAGCATTCAAAATTTTTTTTTCACATTTGTGACCCAGTTTACACATCCACTATTACTGTCATTTAATGCTATATTATACATTGTTTTTAATAAGATATTATCAGTCTCAACAATTTTCATCCAGTATTTTATTATTCTTATATATTATTTACATACAATGGGTACCTTCCCAATTCGCCATAAACATATGCATTACATGTATTCTGTTCACTTTTAATAATCTTTTGCAAAATTTTAAATGAATTCTTTCAATTGGTTTCGACTTAGAATATCCCCAGACTTCACATGAATAGTTCAAAATAGAAACAACAAAAGCATCAAATAACTGACAAAATAACTTTGGACTTAGATCATATTCATTACATAACACGCGTTGTCACATTTAGTTATAAAAATATATATTATTAATTATATTATGCCGCACGTGTCAATAGTATTAATTTATGTATAAAAATTATTTCCTGGAAACACAATCACCAGTAACAGATTTAACCTGCTTTACACCTATTAACACTATAGGCACGCGCAACAATTATATAATTGACATCTAATAGTAACAATTACTAATTGATCAATAAATTAGACTAATTACTAATTGTTAAGTGTTAATCATTAAGTGTGTCCTAGGTTTTCTTGCAGATTCATATACCATGACGTTCAGAATATAAATTAAGAAGCAAACTTGAATTCGTCATCAAAGTTGTTTTGAACTATCATATTATCAGAATTTTAAACTGAAATACAATTCACAAATTATTCTAGATAATCTTGATAAATACTTATCACGAAATGAAGAACATGGACAAAATCAAATCAAAATTGTCGTCGATAAAAAGCGCTGCGACAAAACTGCAACGTTTAAGAACAGTGATAATGAAAGATGAATTAAAAACTGATCAGAAGATGGAAGCGTATCTCTTTGACAACATCAATACCAACAACGTGAAGAAAGATGATTTCTATAACAAAAATATACCTGTTATCGATTCTAAGGTAGTAAACATTCCATTGGAAGCCATAGGCAAAAAGGAACTTTTGCAAAGATATCTGAACGATTCGATCACGTACAGATTCGATTGTAACGATATGTACCTACCTGTTAGAACAAGCGGAGTCGGATGTGAAAATATCTCTGATTTTGACCCTCAACTTCCGGAAAGAACACGTGGTGATGGTGAAGAAAGCATAAATTCCAACTTAGATTCTGACGATGTCCACGATATGAATACAGCGTTTATTGTTAATAGATCTAGAAAAGAACACGCGCTTTTTACAAGGAATGATAAATTGAATGAAGGTATACTCTACGATACTGACGTCACAGAAGATGAGGAAAGTGCGTTTGAAGATGATAGTGACTGTTATGACAGTATATGCGAGTTAGAACGGAATATCTTTGAGAATCATGCTGAAGACTCTTATATCAAACTGAACGATCTGAAACGTATATTAAGTAAAGATAAACTCAATGCTAGGATTTCTGAAGATGATTTACTTGACAGTTTTATGAATACTATTGTTCATAACGAAGAAAGTGACGAAGGAAGGGGTTCAGTAAACAGTGATTTTGAATGATTCGGTCGATTATGAATTTATTGATATGTTGTTGGTATAACATATATGCTTCATATATTTTGTTGTTGATATGATTGTTATTGAATTTGTATGTGCTACACTTATTATATTACAATAAAGAAATACATATAATATATAATCTTGTCGTTAATTAAATAAATTTATTGGTAATATCTTTTGTCAAAGTGCAGTTATTATAAATGTGCAATTCGTCATCACGACGAAGAAAGAAATGTAGTTGATATAAAAAGTCGATTACTTTTCAACTCTTATTACACGTGCTTCATTTCAATTTACCTAAATTAACGATATATTTTACTCACTAGCGCCAATAAAACATTATCACCATGATAACACATTTATACTTTTGATAATAAATGTAATTGTTTATTAATTTCAGGGTATGTATATGTGTTACAATGTACATGTAATGATCTAAATAGAACCAGACCTTAAAGGGATTGTTTCGTAACACAGACCCGAAATATTGTTTCTAATTTTAAATGTTTACTGTACATGCGTATTATAAGAACTAACTCCAACTAATAGAGAGACAGAGCATGTACTATACATAGAAGGCGGGGCTTATCATAACTGACAGCAGCACAACACAATGTACATTTGTACATCTATTTGCAACTATAAAGTCTAATAAATGATTCAAAGTCCCGTCATTAAAGATACATCATGATCGAAATTCAACATCACAAATCTTTAATAGTAATAATAATTATATGCTAAATTACATAACACAACAAAACTAAATGTTGCGTTCCTGCAACAGCCATAATAATGGATTAAAATCATCAAAGTTTGAAGTTTTGATTACAGAATGACTGTGATAACCCGATTTTTTGATATACGTAAGAATATCTAAGGGTAAGTTTATGATAAATGTTTATTCTCTCAATGACACCTTATATATGCAATTATTTTTATATTTAGATATAGTAGACACATAGTTTCACAGTAATAAGATTATATAGTTTTTATTTTAAAAGAGCAATGAATGAAAGAACGAACGAACGGACGAAAGAAAGAAAGAACAAATGAATGTATGGATAAATAAATAAATGAATGAATAAATGAACAAATGCATGAATGTATAAATGAATGAACAAATGAATGAATGTTCGACCGAATGAATGAATGAATGAATGAAAATTTCACCTTCAAAGACACAATTATGCTAAAAATATTTAGAAATAAAAGTTTTTTTTTTAAATCAAAGTTTATTGGCATACGCTGGTAAAAGTCAATATAAAACCTATAAAAAACAAGATCAGTCCCAAAAGATTTATTTAAAGGCTCATTTTGCATAATGCGCAGGCTGGTCTGGATCCTTGCCGGTCGCAAACGCATTACGTTGGTTTTGTCGTGACGAGGCTCATTTGTCTTACAGTTCGAAACGAAAAAAATGTTTTTACTGTGAATATTAGCCATCTCGTTTCATTCATGTCATTGTTTATTTAGTTTTGTGCATGCCAACATTCATGCCATTGTTTATTTAGTTTTGTGCATGCCAACATTCATGTCATTGTTTATTTAGTTTTGTGCATGCCAACATTCATGTCATTGTATTTTTCATGCCATTACATGTGTGCTTTTATATGATAATCATGCGAAATTTGTAGCTTAAGTGTTAAATAAACGTTCTTCTTATTTTTCTTTTTTAAAATCAATATTTTCTCTGTAAAATCAATATTTTTTCTCGTCAATCGATTTCTTTGTACATCTTTACCAGTGTATACATGCTAGTGGATAGTGTTCTTAATATAACATGAATTTAATTGGCATTTATAGATACATATTTTAATTTTTCTGAATCGCATCTGTTCGGTCCTTTCCGCCAGTCTTCGGATACACCTCGAACATAATAGTAAGAATTGACAGAACGGACATGGTATTTCGGTCTAACCTACGCTATGAAACCAAATAGTAATTTAATGCTAGGAATTGTTGACCAGATCAAGTAAAAGTTTACCTAAAATAAGCGAATTCATAGATACAAAAGCAAACAATACATTTTTTATGTAATTATCTTAATGGTCGTTGAAACCGAAAGTACAAAATACCAACCTGTTGACTTTGAATCGGATTTGTTTATATCAGTGGGCATATTTAAATTAAAAATGATTGTCAGACATATTTTAAATCATTATTGTACCGAAACAGAGTTAGTTTCCCTTTGAATGTCAAATAAATGTATATACATTCGTTATACTTTATGAAGATTATACTTTCTGGCTCTGTTTTCATCTGAAACCATTTCAATCAGTATTTACCCCGTGGTAATTACATGTATAGATAATAGCCGAGGACGTTCCGAATGAATTTTTTCTTTGAGAAAACTAATATAAAAAAAGAACCCAACTTGTTATGAAGTTGATCTTGATTTTTGATCAAGATTGTCTCGGTGGTATATTACTTATTTCATCCAGTACGCTCAAAATATATTTTTTTCACAAATGGCTAAATACATGTATATACATGTACATAATAGATACAAAAGTATAATATGTTAATCTTTTTTTAATGATCTTGCATGATATTCACATTTCACTTTAGGCATCTTTATTTGACTGAATTTGTTTATGAGAAGTAGTCATCACCATTCCAAGCATCGGCTTATCGGTATTTAATCCTCAACACTATAAGTAATGGACTCAATTATCCCAAAAGGACCATGACAATATTGCAACACAGAGTTGAACTATATAGTACGAAACAACTTTTTCACAGCTACCACTCAGCACTTGACTCTCTTTTTTCAGGCATGTATCATTTAACTTACAAAAAGACTGTATTTTAATTCGGAAATCACTTCGGTAGAAGTACTGGCTCCTACTCCGTGTCAACATCAGAGTTACTGTCCTACCCTTGGAGTAGTATTGTGAAGTAGATGTGTTCAAACCATAACCCATAATTCGCTGAAAAGCACAGAAGGTCTCAGCATTTGTAATGTTTAAAATATTCTACAGACTACCATTTTCAATTGAGTTGGTATTCACTATAATGTACTGAATTGAATTTGATTTTATTACAAGAAACAAGAATTCAAACATAATTGCAGTAAGATGACAATAATAGTTGGTTTAAGAAAGTCATATGCTCCGGGCCATTTGAGCTGCGTCACGACAAAACCAACATAATGGGTTTGCGACCAGCATGGATCCAGACCAACCTGCGCATTCGCGCAGTCTGATCAGGATCCGTGCTGTTCGCTTACAGACCCTATAACAAGTAGTGAAACTGATAACGAACAGCATGGATCCTGATCAGACTGCGCGGATGCGTGACGCGGCTCATTTATTTTCCTTACAAGTCCATACACCTAAAAGAATTCAACGGGTGTACACCTATACTTTCTTTTGAATAAAGCACAAGCTTTCAGATTAACAATTAGTCATCACATTAGCTTTCATAGAATCAAAGTCTCTATTATAACAAAAAAAAAACAAACAGGTACCACCAGTATAGAGCCTAGCCTCGGAAGAGCATTTCGGGCTGGTGGCAAAGGTTGATCACCTTTTTTTTCCAGCGAGTTAGTGACGAAATTTAACATTTGGTTTGTATTGTACTGAAAAGATAAATTTAAATAGTTCCTACCAGCGTGTCATCAGCAATGCTACTACCATCGAATATATGCAGCTGAAGACCACAACCATTAAAGGAAGCGGCCTCTACGGCAATCTCGAGCTTAGAGCTTCCTTGAAAGTACAAAAGGCAAGTGGTCGGAGGGTTCGATATAAAATCTGTCCCGCGTGGTTGAAGAAGAGACTTTTCACGACTTTCAACTGTAAACATTTTTCCACACGTTGAAGGTGAGTCCATAAAGACTGAAAAAAAATATGACTTAATGCTATATATCTTTTATTATTACCCCTCACTTTTTTCGTAATGTTAATTTCCCATAGGCCTCTGGGAGTTATTCTTACTGTTAATGCAAGTGTACCACGTGACTAAGAATTTTTTACTGTTACATAGGTAACAGTTTTTTTAACAGTATAAAATCTAGTCACGTGGTCTATTTTCTAAAATAAAATGAAAAAAATGGCCGCTATTTTTTTTATCTCGATTCATTCTTATTTTCGACGATAGGGCCGAGGGCATCACCAAAGTAACTATGACTCTCATAAAATTTAGTACTTTGCACCCTACAGTACAGTATCATAGAGTTCTTTTCGCGTATAAGATATCTTTTTGTTGACTAGTCAAAAAATAAAACATCCGTTTTCAACGGAAGTAATTGTAATGTGAACAATTTTGTGTCAAACTGGAACATGCAGACGATTAAAGCATGCAGCAAAGGATTATTTAACAATGTTAACCAGTGAAACGTTACAGATAGAGTTGGTGGATAGTCATAATTCTGTAGGATATCATCGTTATCTGTCAAAACCATGGGAAGAATATTCTGGATACAGAAGGATCAGATTTCACAGATCATAACCTTATAAATGGGTTAGTATTTTGTTTTCTAAATAAAACACAGCTTATTGTATGTTTATGACTGGTAGATATCATCACTTGCTTAAAGAATTAAAGAATAACAGCTTCTCAAGTAGGCATTGCAAGGTAAGGACAGTTTAGTTATTGCTACTTTTGGTTTATTTTGTTTCAGTTAGATTTAGTTTAAACTTTATTTATTCATTAAATTGTACATAAATGACATTTACAAACATTGCACAACAATGTAATTCAGACTGGATTGGAAAACAAGTAAAACAATACTTATATCAATTTCAAGATAAAGATACAAAAATGTTGCGGTTAGATGTAAGCTCTTTGAATGTACAACAAAGAATAAGAGAATAATAGATTGTTGAATTATCACTATAGAAAAACTAAGGTAAATTATGGTGAAATGTTAAAAGAAAGGAAGAATGTAAGGAAAGGTATGATTGAATATATATATCGGAGTTTAATAATTAAGATTAACATGTAAGGAAATATGAGCGTACGGAAAGACCAAGTTTATTCACACTGATAGTAATTCTTACAAAAAGCGCTTCGATTGTGTAATAAATTTTTGGACATTCTGAAAGAGGGCTTTGTTTTCATCAGAAGAGAGATGTTCGTTGCCGTAAAGAAGATTATTTACTGTAGCCGGACAATTTAAATTAGTGAGAAATCTTTCGCGTATATTTCTGTATTTGGTACATTGCAATAAGAAATCTCTCATTCCACACGTGCATGTTGAACTTTCCACAATAGACCTTCTGAACAGATCCTCATTCAATGAACTACATCCTAATCTTAATCTTGTGTGAAGGATTTGATCTTTACGTGTGCCTGTATTATAGTAAGACGGTGGTCTTTTGATATTCGGGGTTATTTTGGACTTGAATATGTTTAAAGTTGGACTAGATTGAAGAGTTTCAGGAAGAGAATTCCAGGTGCGAATAGTAGAAGGTAGAAATGATTTTGAGTATAAAAGTGTTCTGGTTGGAACTGGAGTAAAATCGTCGATATGTCTAAGCTAGGTTATATGTACTTTACAGTTAGATTTAGTTTACAAATTCAAATCACCACAGTATTTGTTCGGGGTAATAAAATAAATAACACATGGGTTTGTGTGTAACAGTAAAAATATCATCCCTCGTAAAAAGACTGTTACCCTCGGCTGCGCCTCGGGTAACAGTATTTTCCTCGGGACGATATTTTTACTGTTACCCAAAAACCCATGTGTTATTTATATACTATTGCGAACGTTGACAGCTGTCGAGAAATACAACTGAAACTTTAGCACATCCGTTAGAAACATTTCAGATGTATTTATCAGACAAATCTCGGTCCTTCAAAAGTGTGACGTCATTAATTATAAAAATGGTAAAACAAAAAAATGGTAAATTCAATATTTGCTGTTGAAGCTTAGAATCACTTTTACTATGCTTTCTGGAACTTACCAGTACTGCGGGGTTGCCGTGATCAGAGTTGAACTCGTACCCATAAACTCTAAGCATGTAGGCAGATACTTTAACAAAATATACCACTGCTTCCATCGAATGGACCGTTCCGGTTTTTCGTAGCGGAACATTTAGCCACACCTTTTCCATTCATTGCTAGGTCAACTGCTCACAAACAGTATCACAAACATAAGCACGTGTTCTTTTGTGCAAACCAGGTCAGCCAGTGATTAGTTATTATCTCAGTGTAGTGTTTTGGTCAACAAGAGGTAGCAGATAGTTTTGACTTAATAGAAACTGTTTATTATAATCAAGAAAATGAAAGAGAATTTTTGCGACACGTCGGAATAATCCAACATTTTTTGTCTCGTTATAGAGAAATAGAAATAGATACTTTACCGTCAACGGTATTTTGACTGCTGCCTTTGCTCTCACTGCTATCACTATCATCTGGAATAAAAATTGTTTAATGCAAACTTATACCAAACATATACAGTATATATTGTATTTCTATTCCCCTCTTAAATATGAAATGAGTATCTACCTTCTATTTCGGATTATTATTGTACAAGAATATAAAGCGAGGGATCACATTTTAGTGAAAATTATTACACATTACAGGTTTCTCGTATTAACATACATTCTTGCAGTTTTGGGCCCCCTTTATGGATTCCTTTTTTTTCTGTTCTAATTTTCAATGATGCACATTTAACATTAAAAAAACTGATCACATTGTACCCACACTAATTTCAATCAATTCGAGGCAAATCTGTTAAGTCTAACTGACGACCTCTTGTCTTTTTGTTGTTTGTTCACCAATTATTGTACCAATTTTAAAAAACATTTATTTGCTCATTTACTGAAAGTAAACAAATATTTATTTACTGATTCATATCATTATATCTATAATTTTCTAACACTCCTTCGTAATTTTTGTCACTGTAGACAAAGATTGAAAAAAAATAATAGGTGTTAAACTGCCAATTAAACAATGGTTAGTGAACTACTTGTATGTGCGGCTTCATATCTTATCATTATACATATCTATAATTTTAACACTCCTCGTAATTTTGTAGCAGTGACACTGTACAAGACTGATTAATTGGGCATTGACTTGATAAAAATAACTTTTTTTTCTTATTATTTCTTTTGTTAAATCTTTTGTTAAATAATTTCTATATCTTAGCAACAGTAGGGTGCGATTTCGAACAGCGTTATACGAAAATCGGCACCGGAAGTTATTTTCGCTTGAAAAAATAACATTTGTTATCTTATTTTATCTTGTTAGATTTGTCGTTTTGATGCGACAAAAATAACCACTCAAACCTACGGATTCCTACGCATCAAAACTTCAAACTTGTGTAAAATAGCCGATAAACACCGCTCAAACCGATATTATTTCTTAAGTTTAAGACGTTACGGTTAACTTACAGTAAAGCTGTATTTTGAGCTGGAAATCATTCCCGAAGAAATAATGGTTCTGAGTTCGAGTCAACATGAGTGACATTGTTCTGTCTTTCGAATAGAACTGTGAAGAAGATGTTGTTGAACCGCAACGCAATACTCGCTGAAAAAAAGGCACGAGTATATTATGATTTATCAAAACTGGCATAATTTTCCGCTGTAAGATATTATATTATTTCTTGGCCTTCATAGAATTAATTATTGTTTACGTTGTCCTTTATTATACTTCAAATCAAAACATTCTTACTTTCTTCATTTGTATTCTGTTATAATGTTTGAACCTTTCGCAAAGATCAGAAAATATGACGTTATACAACAACAGGTGTCAAGTGCTGTATGTTGCCCGAAACTTCAATGCTGTTATTTTTTTCTGATCTTTCGGGATCATTGAGTCCAGTGCTTTTAAGTGTTGAGAATTGAGTACCGCTCAAACCGTCGCTAGCGGGCGTGAGGAATGTTGCACTTTTCCATTATCCCTTTATGTACAGACTCAATCAAACCGACTCGTCTGCAATTTTCACGATATTTTGCTGTTTTTAATGCTTCCGAGGGATCAATATTTCCAGATATTTGTGTCCGTTTAATGCATCAATATTGCCCACAATGGCTACTGTTAGTCGCAATTTAATTTTCTCAGCAAGCATTGGTGGGACAAAAAAACCCATAAGAAAACTGAATTGTTTTGGCGTAACTTAAAGATAGCAAAATATTTCTAACCAGGTAATTGTCACCAGTGCCCTTGCCATCAAATATACGAAGCTGAAGACCACAGTCACGAAATGAAGCCGCTTCTACGACAATTTCAAACTTGTAGTTCGAACTCGCTTGACTGGATTCGAAATACACAATGCAGTTTGTTGTAGGGTTAGATACACCAACTGTTCCTCGTGGTTTTACACGAAACACTTCTCGATCACCTGCTGCAAATGTTTTACCGCATGCTGTAGGTGAATCCATGAATACTGAAATATGTTATTTTATAGGAACATATTGTTAACACGTAAACATGTCTTTTGTAATGAATAACTTTGTTTCACACCTGACAAATTATTAACAAATGAATGTACAACACAAATCTGGCAAGCAAAAATAATATTACATGTATTTTATTCAATTCGTTCAGTAAATGCAGTAATAACATACCTGAAAATAATTTCTATTTATCACATATCAAAGCATGACTACAGACTGTTAAAAGTGCAAAGAATATTTTTTTTATTGACGTGTCTATAGTTTAACGCTTACATTTAGCGTGTCTTTACACTATGTTTTCATATAATGCAAATGAAGTCACGTCAACAAATATGCACGACACTTTTTTTACGAAGTTGCAAAATCGGCACGGGTATGTGATATAATACTGCATGGTCTGTTTCGTTAAATATTGCCAGTTCGCACATTTAAATGACATAATGCTCATCCAAGTGCAAGAGGTCAATGAACAAATAAAAATGAAAAAAAAACAAACAAAAAAAACAAAGTTCAATATTTAAAAAATAAAGTTCGCGATACTGAAAAAAGACGTGAAATAGTCTAAGTATGTGCTACCGACTCATTTCCGACGGTTTTCATGTTTGTATTATCCTTTGTTTTCTTTAGGCTGCTAGGCTGCCAGGCTGCTAGGCTGCTAACTTCACAAATTTCGAAGTGTCAAAATAAAAAAAGTTAATTATTTTAAAAAAATATAAAGTACGCGATACTGAAATAAGACGTGGAATGGTCTAAGTATTTGCTACCGATTCATTTCCGACGGTTTTCATGTTTGTACTATCCTGCTAGGCTGCTAACTTCACAAATTTCGAAGCGTCAGAATGAAAAAAATATGTTACGATAAAGTTCAACATCTTAAAAAATAAAGATCACGATATTGAAAAATGGCGTGGAATGATCTAAAGAAGTGCTACTAATGTATTTCCGACGGTTTTCATGTTTGTACTATTCTTAGTTTTCTTTAGGCTGTTAGGCTGCCAGGCTGCTAGGCTGCCAACTTCAGGTTGCTAGGCTGCCAACTTCAGGCTGCTAGGCTGCCAACTTCACGAAACAAATGACTTGACATTTTTCTTGCATAATTGCCAATTGAATCAATTGAAATATATTTCTGTTAATAAACCATTCTTTGAAATAATATAATAATATATACTACTAAGTATACTCACAATCCCGAGTTTGAGTCTCGGCACACCAAATCATCCATCCCGACAGAAGTAAGAAAATTTCCTTGTTTATAAGTGCCATGGTCTTCTAAAAAAATCAAATAAATATCAAATAAGATTATAGCAAATAAGACAATGCGTAAATAATGATGGTATAGTACTTTATCAAACAAATTTCAAACCAGGGCCATAGGTCCGAGCATCACAAAAAACATAATCTATAGTCAGAAACATTTCACGATTGCCTACCAGGATTGTTTGAGGATCTCTCAGGCGGCACCCTGTTTATCGGGGTTTGACTTGAAACATTGCACAACCATTTACTGGGAATATTGAGAATTTGACAGGCTCCCTTTTAATTGGAGTTTAACCGGCAATATTTCGTGATCCTTTACCAGTAATATTGAAAATCAGACAGGTATTGTGGCTGATTTGTGCCATTCGTGTTTTCGCCCGCGCCCCCGCCATTTTAATTTGTTAATTCTCGACTTTTCGCTTGGCGGGGTCGCGGGACGAAAACACGCTAATTAGAGGAAGCGGGGCGAAATTTTATTTCATTAAACTTCGCCCCGCGCCCCCGCCGTTTTATTTCTTAATTCTCGCTCCGCGCCCTCGCGGGGCGAAGTTTTATTTGTTAAACTTCGCCGCGCGCCATTTAAACTTGTTAATTCTCGACTTTTCGCTTGGCGGGGTCGCGGGACGAAAACACGCTTATTGGCGGGGGCGCGGGGCGAAGTTTTATTTTATTTAACTTCGCCCCGCGCACCCGCCGTTTTATTTCTTATTCTCGCTCCGCGCCCTCGCGGGGCGAAGTTTTATTTATTTAACTTCGCCGCGCGCTCCCGCTAATTAGCGTGTTTTCGCTCCGCGACCCCGCCATTTTAACTTGTTAATTCTCGACTTTTTGCTTGGCGGGGTCGCGGGACGAAAACACAAATGGCACAAATCAGCCACCATAGACAGGCCCTTTGTTTATAGAAGTTTACCTACCCTCTACCGGGAATGATGCGAATGTGACAGGCCCTCTGTTTATTTACCTTTCACCACCTACCGCGATTGATTTGTTCATGTATCATGTAACATGAAAAACAAGTACACAGCACGTGTGTTTGTTTGGATTTGACATGAATTAAAAGTCGCGCTTTCTCTTTATAAATTTATTGACGGCATGTTTGTTGTTGTTGTTCAGGTTACACACTACTAAATTAGCTAAAGGTCAGACTTATCTATTTAGATATGAACACGACAATAACTTCATAAATAATGAATACTGTATTAATACTACTATATTTGGATTATACTTGTTTCACTCAACACTTGACCTTTAACGTTGTTGTATTGTTCTAATAACTTTTATATCAATGTCCTTTTAAAGTAAAAAAGAAACGAAAAGCACTACAACATCAATCTAGATATATGTGTCTTTAAAAAATGCTTTCTTGTCTATTGAATTTGAAAAAGTAGATGAAGGCTATTTAATTTTTACCAATTTTGTTAACTTAATTTAGTACTCACAGTCCTTGGTCTAACCCTCACCACCCCTAGCAGATTTCAACAATATTATTTATCCAGCGCCAGTGACTTCAAAAATACACATACATCCAGGTTTGTCCATTTATATTGAAGGTAATAAATAACTAAAATATAGATATGTTGACACTACAAAAAAGATAAAATTGTATGTAAATATAAACAGACATGTAACATTATCAGTATTACACAGATTACATAGAATATGATAAATTGGATTGATGATGAAGTGTAAAAATAAACGCGGAAAGGTTTGGGGTTAAATGCAACCATGTCAGAATGAGATTGTATATTATTATTATACATGTATATTATTGTATATGTAAAAATAATGATATCATACTTAAAGGCCCTTTAAGCCTAAAAATACTATTATTATAATTTCTCATTTTTCTTTGAAGATATACTTTGCTTAAATTTGATATTAGAAAATAATGGTAATCGATACACAGTCTCTTTGTAAATATAAAATAAACATGTTTTAAATCCAAACAAATTAGATATGTTATGCTTAAAATTCTACATACTATAAGTTATCACATTATGAGTATATATAGTGTCTTTAATTTGTTTTCAATAAAAGACCAACTTAACTTGACCTGTAATAGGGAACACAGCTTCCCACACATAGTGTATTCATTCTGTTATTCAAGTGAGACATATCCAGTAAGAACTTCATAGATTTCAATAAATTTCAATGTATTTCTTTCATTAAATATTTTACTCCAAAATGAGCATTGTTTATCTTAAAATCATTTTTCTAGGGCCTATTTTATTTACAAAAGAAGGTACTTATTGTCCTTATAGATGAACCATATGTTTTAATATTATATACCTTATAAAATAATATTTATCTGCTTTAATTTCATATTTCACATTCTGATCTGTCGTTATTTGAGCCGCGCCATGACAAAATCAACATAATGCGTTTGCGATCAGCATGGATCCAGACCAGCCTGCGAATCCGTGCAGTAATATATAGCGAAATATATAGCGAACAGCATGAATCCTGATTAGACTGTGCGGATGCGCAGGCTGGTCTGGATCCATGCTGGTTGCAAACGCATTATGTTGGTTTTGTCATGGCGCGGCTCATTTCAAATTATTACAGAGATCAGGCACAACAACACTTATTTCATAATTCTTCAAATCTTGAAAAATGATTGTATTTAGAAGAAATGTGTCTGTTCCCCGGTAACAGTAACTTAAACATTTAGCTTAAAGTGACATTATGCTCATCTTTTTCATTGTGAAGTATAACTGAATTGACTATATATTTCAACAGAATGTTATTATGACCAATATGAACTGTTGATATTTTAGAATGTTTAGGATATATAACTTAGCAGGCTCCTCCGCTTTTTTTAAATGTATATTCCAATAAATATTAGAGATATTTCCTTGTGAGTTGTTATTTATCGTTCATCCGAAGTAAATTACAAAACTGAAAGGAATTATGGCAAAATGTAAACTTATGACTTTCACCTTTTCACTCATTATATACCTTTGAGGGCATAAGGTCAGAAATATTGATCGACATTTTATCATTTAAACTTATAAATGCGTTTAAGCATTTATACAAGTCATTAGTAAAGTTTGACACATTAGTTTAACACTTACAATACGTTTAACCATATAAAATTTGAAATTTTAGCGAGTTAAAAAAATCCAGTATATTTTTCTACTGAAACGTATTATATTAAATCACGGATTTATATTACAATAATAATAATATAATTAATAATGTAATATAGAAGAAGAAGAAGAATCTTTATTTTGCAAATTAACTCTCAAAAGAGTCATGTACAAGCATTCATAATATATACAATAACATGTATGCATAAGTAAATAACTAATTACATAATATAATATAAATCCGTGATTAAATGGGATGCTTTTCGCATTAAATGTTGCAAGTCAAAGGGGCAGGAGATCTTAAACACGTCACCCTTTAATATTTAATAGTAAGATTGTTTGCACTTTTTTTTTTATCAATATGGGTCATTTCAATATAGAATTGTGTAGCATTATTGATATTATACTAAGTGAAACAGTATACATGTCATTGATGTAAAGCTGTAATTGTATGATTAACCATTCTATACTAAAGCAGTTATTATGCTACTAAAAGAAAACGTTTTGAGCTTCACAAAAGTTATATACAAAAATCGATTTAGCATATTAATCTAGTACATAACAGCAATACAAGTTTCAAACAGTACCCGAATGATCTAAAAATAAAACCGTTTAACAATAACAGTTATCCATTTTCAATAGTAAGAATAGTCGATTTACCGATATATACCTTTCGGATCAGCCTTGGATTTATAATTTCAATGAAATAAGATATATAAAACGAACTTTACAAATAGGTGGTTGATAGAGATATCACGGGAATACAGGTTTTAATTAGATGGAAAAAATTAAGATTTAAGTGTCTCTCAAAGAACGGGGTTTTCTTATTTTTAGTACGTTTTATTGGGATGGTGTTTAATTTTTCATATTTACAATAAGGAAAATATTGACAGAGTAGATAATGAGCAATGTATAGGAGATATTTGGTGGAAATCCAGCATGCGAAATGTAAAGTTGATTCAATAGTGCAAAATTGTGAGGATATATTAACAGACGATGCTCTTCCTGTAAGACCAGACAACACAGAGAGTCAAAAACTTTACAGTTATCAAGATATGAAAGACCTACGTGAAGAAAGCATTCAACGATTAAATGATATCGCGAAAAAGGTCGCGAATCAGAAAAGAATTCTTAGCCGTACAGTCGCCGACGAAGACGTCCGGTATATTTGCAGTTTGTATTCCATGTTTGTCGACAAAGCAACATCTGACGTGTTGGACGAATATAGGAAAGAGGTTGCGAATATTATGGTAAAGACGAATATTTTACCGTACCTCACGCATATCGTTGTGATCTACCCGGCAGATGTGTACTATAACATAGCAACACACGAAGACAGTTATTTGTTGTACATGACGCTTACATTAATTGCTTACTATGCCGAATCATCAGAATTGTTCGCCGACGCGATTTCAAAGACTGAGGTCTTAGTGTTTTGCAAAAAGCTGTTGGCGCTTAACTCTGAGAACCATGTTGATGGAAAGCTTAAAGTATGTATACGTAGCAATGTTAAATAATTTGATATTTTAAGACTTGTTTACATTAGTCACCATTCTTGTTTTCTGACTTGTTTCTCTCAAACGCAGCTACACTAAATATTTGTTTGACATAAAATAGCACAATTCAAAACAGTGTAATATTATTATAATACGATTATAATATACTATAGCCATTCAGTCGGAAAGGTCACCTTAATATAACATATTTGGCAAAGCTATTCACTATCTAAGCTAATCTAATTCCAAACGTTTAAAAGGACTTTGAGCTTAATGCGTCCTTATTACGACAAGTGAAAGGTGCACTATCGAGTGAAAAGTGAAATTTTTTAATGCAAATATAACTGACTAATCAATTAATACTTTTTCTATGTGTGTGTGTTTTTTTGTGCTAATTATAGCACTTTTTTGTGTCATATCTTGGCGGTCGATACAAATAACGTTTAGGTTTTCCTGGATAAGTTACTTGTTGCTATCAATTTTCTCCGCGAATAACCCAATACTCCAACATGATTTTTGAACCAGTGACCATTAGACTAAATGTCCGGGATAAGCTGTTACGAATAAGTAAAAAATCGCCCGAGGATTGAACCAGCTTCCCATGGTGTACTTATCCGATTCCCTCCCTATTGAGTTAACCGGGTCGACACAAATAATTACACTTATAATATAAAATTGTATAATACATACTATAATAGCACAGAAATTTAGATATTAGAGTAATAAAATACGAAATGATAATTCAATTTTTTTTAAAAATTAACCCTCACATTACATAAAATTTTTATAATGATGTATAAATTTTTAATTGTTTTCAGGATGTTTTAGAAAAAATAATACATGCATGTATTTGCATTTTTCACATCATTTCCATGAGAGAGCCATGTGTATATATCTTAAGAGACTTGGAGCTTACAAATACACTCCGACTGTATCTGAAGTCACCTGATGACGAGATTAGTTTGACTTCTATGGCAACTATAGCGAACATTGCTACTGAGAAAGAAAACGGTATTATAGAAGAAAATGCTCAACTAGTAGCTAAACTGATGTATCTCCTACATAAAGGGATGGAAGATGAATCACATGCGTATGCAGGGTGGCCTTGCAAAAAGAGTGGACGAGGTATAAATATTTTCATATGATATTTTAATTTAAAAGCTGCTCGTCATAAGATGAATTAACCGAAATAGAAAATAATTCAATGAAAGATATAAAACAAGTTTAAATAATGCATCAAGTCTTGCATGTTGTATGAAAAGTATAACTGGCTTTATTATTTTTGCTATCGTATTTTCTTCCCATTACTGACGAGGAAAATGCATGCATGTGACTTTTGCATAAATAGACACATTTAAGAAAGGAACTTTATGTGAATATCAACTGTCATTAGCTTTGGTCACTTGATTGCTTTAATGACCAAAATGTTTACTAATTAAAACGGAATTTGAATTTTTAGAATTTGAGCCTGGAACATTGATGTCCTATTGAGTTGGAATAGTAGCCAAATGGTTAAGCAATCTCCCACGCAGTGATGTCCCCTTATCTGTACAAGAATCTGCCAAGGGAGGTAATCACTGTGGGGAGTTTGATGGTTAAGGTGTCTGCCTGGCTCTCCAACACAATGGACGGTAGTTTGTTAAGAATCATACAACACTTATACTAGTTAGTGTTTGAAATTATTTTTGTCCAATGGGATTGCAGTATTTCAAGTGAATCGTAACACAAATTGGCAAACTGTTAATCAGTCTGGTAAATCGACTGTTTATAAAATAATTTAAAACACTAAGCTGGTTAAAATTTATTAGTACGTATTTACAAAATTAAATTGTTAAACAAGTATAGGTTAGAGTGCATATTGGGTGTTCTTCGTAAATAAGAAAGCTAAAAAGGAGCGGAGCTTGCGAAGCGACTGTAGCTTTCTTATTTACGAAGAACATCCAATATGCACGCTAACCGGCTTAGTGCTCCGCCCATTTTTTTCCGCCCAACACACTGCGTGACGTCACACGATAGCCTAAATGTGTATAACCATATTTGGAAGAGGTAGCGGTACACATTTTCGGGTCACGTGCTTTGCATAGCTTATTCCCGCATTCTGTCTAGGTAAACCAGACAATATCACGGTGTATTATCCATATCGGTACCCTCTTTGCACGGTACCCTCTTTGAACATACACAGGCCATTCTCTGCTAAAAACAAACCAGCGATGGATAACAGTGCAGTAAAATTCATTGTAATAAGGAAAGGAGGTATGACACGTAGAAAAAATGTATACCACGGAACACTAGAATGTTTTATTTATGTGTTGATTTGTCATGTGCCCGATTTTCATGTAATGCAACTTCACAATGAGCTACAAAAAGTCGACATGTCTTGCCTCGCCTGTCACCTCGACATATTTTTGTAAAATTAATAAATACACCCTACTTTCGGTTTTGCAGCGGCACTGGCTGTAATATTTACATAAAAAGTAAGAAATAATACATACATACTTTGTTAGAATAAGTGAACTTTTTATTTGGAAATTATAAAATGATACTGGTTCCGTAAGTAATAAAACATTTTTATTGTTATTTTGCCTGTTTTCATTTCAATGAACCTCTTTTTTTAATTCTATGCCGTAGTGACGATATACATGTGCGTGTACGGAAAAAACATGATGCATAAATATTGATTAGTAGGAGTAAACCTCAAGATCTCTGCACATGCGTATATTTCACTTTAGCGCTCTTCGAAACTTAGCTCCGCCCACTTGCGTTTTAGAATATAAAACGTACAGTTTATATAAAATCTGTTCTATTAAGATTTGAAACCTAAAAATTTGAAAAATCCTCGTCGGTGATTGGCTTAAAAAAATTGGCGAGCACTAATTATACTTAGTTCAGAATTTTGACTCAAATGCGATTGATATACGTTTTAATGACTTGTTACGAAAACACGAGCTTAGACGTTCGTATACCTACAAAATGTACGTTTAGATTAAACTAGAATGCATGTCTCCTACATTATGAAGAAAAATCACTAAACTGCATATTTGATAGCCATGTTGACAAAATACACGTTTTTAATTCTTTAACCCTTTACCATACTAACTTTCTTGCTCATGCTCTTATTTCAATCAATATTTTAAAAGCCCATTATGCCTCGTTTTACTTCTAACAAGCTTTGTATGTTTTGGTCTCCTGTTATAGTTTCCGTAAAATTACTCATTGGCCAATAACCTGAACCATCATTTGCAACTATTACCTTTGGCAAATAGCACAGTAAAGTTTTAGTAATTTAGTATTTTGTATGGAAGTCAAAATACTACTTTGTTTACATTTTGCTACTTTTATGACAAATAATTTTACTTTCAGCGCTACTTTGCTCAGGTAATAAACATTTAACAAGGTTTAAAACCATTTTTTAAACGTTACAAAACTTACATTTGCCCTTTCTATAATTCATTTCTTCAGGCATAATGTGCCTTTAAAGGAAACATTCAAAATACATATTGACAGAATAGGGAACAGTGCAGATTGCGACCAGTCTGGTATCATTGGGTACTAGTAGGCTAAAGGTTAATAACTATTATAATGGCATACTTTGAAATAGAGGACATAATAAATAACATAGCAGTTTTATTGTGCCCCCACTATAGAGGGGGGGGGGGGGGCGGGCATTTAGATTTACCCTTGTCCGTCCGTCCTTCCGTCCATCCGTCCGTCCGTTCTCTTTTTTTGTCGCACGTAGCTCAAACAGTTATTGACCTAGAGTCATGAAACCTTACAGGAATGTTGATCAGCATGTGAAGTTGTACACCTGGGTATTTTTATGTGGATATATTTTGTAATTTTAGAGTAATTGCCCTTGACTTAGTAAAAATTTGCAATTTTCAACTTGTGTCGCACGTAGCTAAAAAGTATGTGACCTAGAGTCATGAAACCTTACAATAATGTTGCTCAGCACGTGTAGTTGTGCACCTGGGTATTTTTTGTGGATATTTTTAGTATTTTAAAGTTATTGCCCTTGAATTAGTAAAAATTTGCAATTTACAACTTGTGTCGCATGTAAATAAAAAAATATTTGACAAAGAGTTATGAAACCTTACAGGAATGTTGCTCAGCATGTGAAATTGTGCACCTGGGTATTTTCGTGTGGATATATTAAGTATTTTTAGAGTTATTGCCATTGACTTAGTAAAAACTTACAATATTAACCTTGGGTTGCACGTAACTCAAAACGTATTTGACCTGTAGGCCTGAAAATTTACAAAAATGTTGGTCAGCATGTGTACTTATGTACCTTGGCGTTTTCTTGAGGGTTTATTCAGTACTTGCAGCATTTAAAAAAAGATTTTTAGTTTTCAACTTGGGCACATGTAGCCAAAAAATTGACCTAGAAACATAAGATTGACAAATCGGTGGAGTGTGGGGGCACCCGTGTCCTATGGACACATTTCTAGTGCTTATAATGAAATATATTGTTGCCGCATTTTACGAACACTCAATAGCGGATAAGCATCCTAAACAAAATTAATGATTGATGTACTATCTGACTAAAGTTCAAATTATCTTATACATGTTTACATGTCCTTTTAAAGCACACTGTGCCTTCGATACAAATTAAATTTCACCCCTTATAAAGGGCAAGCATGAGTTTTATAATGTTTAATTAATTTTTTTAGAGCATTTTAGATGCTTGCTACCTGAAAAAAGCAGCGCTGAAATTATTTGTAATAAAAGTAGCAAAATGTAAATCAACTAGCATATGTATTTTGACTTCCATACAAAATCTCTATAACTGTATTAATGGCCAAAACGCAACAGAAGAAGAGATGTTTAAGGTTTTTGAAAAATGAGTTACTATAAAAGTAAATTTAAGGCAAAACACTATTAAGGAATGAAATTAAAGCATTTCTGGGGCATAATGTGCCTTTAAATATAAAAAGATCAGATTGTAATTGATATGGAGTTATTACATAAAAAACTTAAATGAGGAAGATTTTTACAATGTAGTAAGGCAGTGTTCTTGTTGTGGTTTTACATAAGTTAAAGCTGTGTCGTACTCTCCTTTTTGACTGATTGATCGATCGATTAAATAATTGATTAACTAATTGATTGATAGTCTCCAAAAATAAAAGAAGGCTTCAGTGTTAACTGCCACTTTTCATTGAACTGCTATGTAGGATCCCCTTTGTATAAAATTTATTTGATTTTTTTTGTACCAAAAATAGAATATTTGAAATTTCTGAAATATTTAGTTTAGGAAGTACACAGTTATTTCCCTTGTGGGGCGCTCTAAGATTCTTAACATTAGATACTGTTTGCGTACAGCTATTCACGCAATGCAAAGATTAAAACTTTTTTCAGTTAGCAACTATCACATTCATGAAAACATACACTTTTCTTTTATCTCTCAACAGCTGTTCGAAACCTATCGAAAAATGACTCTAACAAGAAGTTGCTCTGGGATTTAAATGTTCTGCGAACTTTAACCGAGATGGTAAGGGCCGGAAATGAGCAGCAGCAGCTAGGTAACAATTTGCTATTTTTTGCGTGGATATAAGGTGAACCGGAAATACCCAGATTGTCCACATTATGTAGGCGAGCGATGGCATCATATGACAACAGTACTGGTTAATTCCAGGAAGCGAACTTAAAAATGAGTCATATAAGCAAGATATTGTTTCACAATCGAGCTTTGATCAGAAGAAACTGAAGTTCAAAACGAAATAAAATGTGTAAATAAAAAAAATCACCCCTTTCTATGTATGTTTTATTTGACATGAAGGTAACTTCTTCTTTGACGTAAACATCCTTTTATTGGGCATACAGTGATATCAATAAGACTAAATAAGCTTCTTCAGGATTGCTTGATGTTAAATGAGCCGTGTCATGACAAAACCAACATAATGGGATTGCGACCAGCATGGATCCAGACCAGCCTGCGCATCCGCGCAGTCTGATCAGGATCCAAGCTGTTCGCTTATAGTTTCTTTAATTGTTATAGGGTCTGTGCGCAGGCTGGTCTGGATTCATGCTGGTCGCAAACCCATTATGTTGGTTTTGTCGTGACACGGCTCAAATAAAGATTTTGTTATAATTCTAGAAGTGTTAATTTCAGTTTGGATTGTTAATATATCCATGTTAGAATTTGCATTTTTTTCTTTAAGGTTTTTATCAATTCTGAAAAGAAATCAGTGTTAGACTGTTAGTAATATAAACCATATAACTTAGACATTTCACAATGAGTAAGACATTCTAGCACAGAAATTTGAATATCTTATGCAATTCTTTGAAATGAGTTACAACTGATTATTATAGAGAGGTACTAAGTTTAAATTGATTGGCCCATATAACCTCAAGACCAAATAGTTTGAATATATAACCCTGAAACCAGTTTCCAGTCACCACCAGAGTTCTGTAACTAATCATCATGAGTACAAGTTTTAGAAAGTCGCCTTTTATATTTTTAAAATCCGTTAGTACTTATATATGAGTACATGTAGAACAGCAATGTTGTTATGTCCATTACAGAAAGTGTCCATGCGATTTGGGCTCTGGCATTTGACAAGGAAATACGTAAAGACATCATGAAAGATAAAGATTCCAACGTCCTACAGGTCTTGAATGGTCTAGAAAAAAATACAAATAACGACGACATAAAAGATGCATGTGAAAAATGCCTATGGACCCTTAATCAGGACACAACAGTAAATGCATCACAAAAAGAAACAGGTACATGTATAACTGTATTATGATCTATTATATACTTATAAATGAAATATTGAGAAATATTGATGAAATTAAATGCGTATTTTCATTTTCCGTATTTTCACTGTGAAAATTTATTATTTCACTGCAGTGAAACACATTTTCCATATTTTTCTCTAGTGCCTTACCGGACTACTTTCTTCTAAATTCGGCCAAAAACATTTTAGTACAAGTCTTTCAAATTGTAATCTAAAAAAAGAGTGAAAAATGTATACCGCCACTGAAATATTTATTTTCGTACAACCCAATGAGAATAAATCATGTATTTATAGAAAATAAAACCTTGAATATCCTGTATATATTCAAATTTATCGTTTAGAGAAGAGAATGGTTATGAACAATTTCAAAACCAAGCAGAAAACATTAAAACAGTCTTTCTATGCATATTCTGATCACAGCAAAAACGATTTCAGAATTCAATCTCAATATTTACTCGACTGTTTATTGATACTTACATATTTTATACTTGTATTTATCTGTTTTGTTTCTGTGATCTTATCAAGAAAATTTTATTGTTCTTTCATGTTTCTGTGTGAGTCACAATTTATACTTAAATTAAACATTTTGAAACCAGTCCTCTTCACTACTTTCAAAATTATTTTAACATTATTTTTCAGTTACTAAGGATACAACAGTACAACAGACACACGGTACTGAACCTAAGAAAGGTCACATCATGATCTCGTACCAGAGTCAAAGCCGCGAGACTATGAAAGAAATAAAACGAGTCTTGGAAGAAAAGAATTACAATGTATGGCTTTGACAATTAACATTTCAAATTAGTTTTTATATCTTTTTATTGACTGTATCTTAACTAAGTCGAGTACGGTTCTTCACTTTCTAAATATAGAATTTAACTAAAGATACAACAGGGAAATTGGCAATGCAATATGGGCAATAAATGTTTACACTTAAATGCACATTATTCCTCAGGAACGAATATTTTTTCCTTCTTTAGGAACGGCACAAATGAGTTTACTACATTTAAATAATGGTTTTAGAGCATGTGTGCTGCTTATCACCTGAGTAAAGTAGAGTTGAATGAGATTCTTTTTGTCAAATAGTATCAAAATGTTAACAAAGTGGTATTTTGACTTCCATACAAAATACTTAACTCAGTACTTAATCTGAAGCTCTTATTTTATACTAATTGCCAAATAGCCACAGAAACAAAAAATGTTCTGGTAACCAGCATATGAGTAACCTTTGCGAAATTATAGCATGGCGCAAAAATAAAAAGCTTTTGAAAAAAAGGCATTTCTTTACATAATGGATCTTAAATGAAAAGCCGTTTCGCAGAGATCAACAGATATACGTTACAGCTCACAGATTCTGCATTACAGTTATACAACCTTAAAGTGAAATTAATAAGTTTAACCATCTGGCTTGATTACTTTTTAAGCAGAACATTTCTTTCAAAGATTGATTATGATTAGCATTTTTGTGGTTAAAAATATAACAATAAAGACCCTGAATTAGTTCATAAAAGACGCTTTCTAGAAAATTTATGACAGGGTAATGGGTCTGCTCTGTAGTCCGATTGTGTCCAACAAAATAAACTGAAAGCCGGTGCTAGGGTGCACAATAGATGTTGCACTTAAAGATTATCTCTCGTAAGCTGACTAAAACAAACCGAGTCTTTTCTTATTTTCATCGCTCCCGAGGGATCACATCGTTTCAAGAATTTTAGAATTTGTTGGATCTGGTCAATTTCTATTTAAATTTAATTAATAGGAGTATGCCATATAACCACTGGTTCTAAACGTAATTTGAAAGTTTTTATGTATTGAATACAGGTATGGATGGATATTGACAATATTGGAGGTTCAACCTTACAAGCAATGGCAGAAGCTGTAGAAAATGCTGTTGTTGTGTTAATTTGCTATTCTAGAAAATATAAAGAAAGTGAAAACTGTCGTCTAGGTAAGGATAAGAGTTTTGCAACCATTTTCATGCGAATTAAATCCGCGCGTATGTATGTGATATTCTCAAAAACACTTCTTTATCTTGGAAACAATACAGTTTTCACAAAATAAATAAATCTGATATTTTTAACACCATCCTGCAAATGTGTCATTTTGATAGAATCTTTAGAAACAAGTGAACGTGGCATTGAGTGACAAATATTCTATTTCTGGTCCAGTATTTACAAATTTTAATATAACGTTGTAATTCTTATAATATTACATAAATATTTTCAAATACAAATTGAAATTGTTTGTTTAATGCTTTGAAATAAAAACGCCCTTTTCTCGTCTCCAAGAGGCTGAGTACACACAAGAATTGCGGAAACCTTTCATACCGTTAAAAATGGAGCAGGGCTACAAACCAGACGGCTGGCTAGGACTTATGATAGGTTCCAAGTATTTTATTGACTTTTCTGGAAAATACAAATTCGAAGACAAACTTGTAGACCTTTTCAGGGAGCTCGACAGAATTCTTAAGCCTGAGAATGCAGGTTTAGAGCATAACGTAACCGATTTATCTGAGGTAGGTATATGCGATTAATAATATGCCAGCAGCTTTTTTTTTGCAATTGCATTTGCAATATTTTTACCAGATTTTGTTAAATACTCCTTTTACACATTTTTCTACAACTCTTGTATTATTTATGATTTTAGAAGATACTAAATGAGCGATGCAAACGTACCGCTAGTCTTATTTTATAAGAACAAAAGAAACATTTTCTCTTTGGTTTTCATATTAAAGGAAAACAATATTATCATCATATTAAAGGAAAGCAAATAAGGAATCAAACCAAATTTTGAGTATGATAAGTCAATGTCAAATTGTCCATGATCAGTGATGATGAAACATATTTATCGTACAGGTCAGTACGACGGGAGGTGTTGGCAATACCTTTGTTACTAGTACGAATGTTGCACATGGCAAGGTCGTTAGTTCAAATGAAACATCAAATGAAAAATCAAAGGAGAATATCAAAAAGATAAGAAAATGGAGCGATAATGATGTGTCAACTTGGTTGTCTAAATATAACTTACACAAGTAAGATATTTAATTTGCATCATTACATCTTATTACTTTTCTAGATGTATGAAAATAAATGCTTTTGTTTCCCGAGCATAACTTTAAATTTGTTATTTCTATCTTGTTAGTTGAAATCTTAATATTTAAAGGGTGTATGATTTTAAAGAGTTCTCAATTGCGCATAAATTGTTAAAAGAGAAAATAATTATTACATAAGAAAATATGTTTCTACACAAAACATGTAAATATGACAATAGCATAAGAACTCAAGAAATGATGTGATTTAACAATACATTTATAATAGTAATTCATTTTCTAGAATCGATTTAACAGCTGTATAAAATTAATGTACACTTCATTAGAATTTATTGTAATTCTTTATTAAACAAATATTATGATATTGTTTTGCCAAAGAAATATAAAAGTAATTGTGCAGCATTTCATTAGAATTTACTTAGATACTGTACAGACCATAAATCAATTATTAAATATCAATCATTTTAAGTAAGATGCTCAAATATTTTCTGGTCTTTTTAACTTTTATATTTTGTCTTACAGTTGCGGCTTAGATGAACTTACAGGAGAAGAAATCTGGCTCTTGGCAAAAGTGAATAACCAGACACCGGATAAAATTTATGATTTTCTAGAAAAAGACTTGAAAATTGACAAATTATTGGTTAAATCAAGACTTGTATGGGCACTGACTGAATTAAATTTATAACCTTTTTATGAACAATTTAATGTTTAAATACTGCCATTCTAGCAGTTCACTACAGTACAACAAAATATTCTCTTGTAACATAAAATGATAAAATATTGTTTTCTTATTGTTTGTTGACTTCAAACGTTTGTTACTTTCTCAATGAAATTAGAACATCGGTGATTGTTTGAATGTCTCACATACAGCCCAGTCTTTTGTATTACAAAACGTTTCTGCCATCATAAATGTATTATTATTATTATTGGTACATGTCCCTCTGAATAACTGCCCTTCGCTATTTTTAAAAAAAAATCCTGGCTTAAAGTTAGCATGTTAAGATCAATAAGGAATCTGCACACGTTTCATTTGTACCATAAACATGGCATGTATTTTGATTGTTTTATAACTCTTTTTGAGCTTTAAAGATTTCTGAGACTATTTCTGTCTTCAAACCTACTGTAGGCTACTTAGGGAGCGCGATAGCTCAGTTGGTTAGACCACTGACTGTCACTCCTGAGGTTCCGGGTTCTATCCTGGGTAACACCCTTGGGATTTTTCAGAAACACTTTCAGTGTTTCCCACCTAACTAGAGGTGTAATGGTAAGAAATCCAGGTAAGCCTCGCCTGTATTAGTGCTATACACTGGGCATGTAAAAGAACCAAGGAATCTATTCAATAAGAGCTAGGGACTAGTTCCCGGATTCCCTGTATCTCAAGCTAGAAAAAATCCTGCTTAAAGTAGCTGCTTAAGATAATAAGGAATCTGCACCTTCATCTGTACATAACATGGCATGCATTTGATGGTTATAACTCTTTGACGCTTAATCGTCACATATAGATGTCTAAACTACTGTGGACATGTATTTGCACATATGACTGTCTTTAGGATCCTTCTTTTAGGTCAATTTTTAAAACGCATAACTTCTAGAATGCATGTACATTGAATACAATCTTCTTTGTTAATTCATACATTATCCAGGCTATGTTTTTGCTACCTCTAATAATAGTCGAGTGTGCTGTTCTGCAGGCAGCTCTTGTAACATCTACAACATACATGGTCATCAGAACAAACAATGAAAATCGTGTTTTTTTTGTTTTGTTTTTTTAAATTGATGGAATGAAACCAAAGGTGTGTAGTATTCTTTGTCTACCACAAATCTGGAACACAGGGCTGACAACATGCGAATTTATCTTTAGATATGTCACGTGTCACTGTGTGATGATTTATAATCAGTTAAGACTCACTCATAAATTCAGTTGTCTTTCTAGTACCAAATTTTGTTACGATTCATCAATGATTTAGAAGTAAAAATTCATATATTAAACATATTTTAGCTATGGATTTGCCGATATGAGATAGAGTTATTTGAACTCAAGCTTTTCACGAAAATCCACGGAAATTCTTTTCTGACATACATGTAGAATAACCATTCCTAAAAATATTGTTTATTTTCTCTTTTCACTTTTGATTTCTATGTCAAATATGTGAGATAAGATTTAATTATGACTAAGCATTTTATATCTTTGACTTAATGCGAATTTTGGTCTGGAAATGTTCACGACTGGTTGGACAAAAATGGTATGGAAAAGGTGACTGACAAGTATTTTCTTAAATCTAGAGCATAGCTTTGTTTGCCTTATTCCAATGGGCAAATAATTGATGGAATACATTGTCAAGTCAATTGCTTTCAACAAATATTTATTTAATATGACATAAACAACAATCGTACAAGATTTGAAATTTTAAAGTGGCAATAAACGAAAATTAGAAAAGCTCGGTCTATATTAGGTGACTGGTCTAAATTATAATGTCTACTACAAATTAAATCTACCAACCCTCTGTTTTGATCTTATTTATAACAGGGAACAAGACACTAAGGTCACATATATGTTACTACAAAGCGAATTGAATAAGGAAATTGGTGAAAAGAAAGATAAATGTTAAATGTATAGGAATTACAAGAATTGAGTCTTGGAATTGAGTCATTTCAAATGCAAATAATGGCTAAAGAATGTGAGACAAGCAAAACATTTTCAGAGACAGGCCACCGAGAGGGAAATAGAAACTTTTAAATGATATAGCCTTGTTTGTATTTAACGCAAATGACGTCGAGTCAAAGTGTTATTGCTCTAGTGTTAAACCAATTTATCAAATTGGTTTATTGCACTTTTGTGCCCTGGTTTATGTGATAAGTAATTAATAACGTCATAACGTACTTTCATTTTCTTATGTGTATCAAATCTTATAAAATGGAAAGAAAAAAGTCACAATTCAAAGCTTGTCTTGTTTGTTTTAGTTTTGATCACCAATACAACAGTTATTTCAAAAACAAAAAGTCCGTCGATAGAGAGCGTGTTGTACGCCAATCATGCAGTCTTATCTTCATCCGTGCTGTCTTTCTCTTTGTTAGCAAGCAAAATATATAACACTAATACAATATTTAGCAAAATACCATCAAAAAAGAATATCATAAATTGTTAACACTACCACCAGAACAATAATCTAAATCTTTAACGATTGCACGCAAACAAATCACAAATTTTAACGAAAACATCAAAACGTAACAATAGCGTCAAAACATTTCGAGAAATACTAAATGTAATATTCCACAGTTAACATTTATATCAAGGATAATATATAATTAAACATTTTATTGTAAATTTTGTTGACAAATGAAGACAGGTAAACAAGCACTGTTATAGAGTTCAATTATTTTTCTTTTTCATATCTCTGCCGTAAATGTAGGTTTAATATTCATTAAGATCATTATCTAGCAAATATTAGGCTAAAATAAAACAAGTGGTTTTGAAATGTCAACCTACAATTATGCCTTAGAAATGCTAGCATTTTCATTTCTAAAAACTGTTTATTTTTGGTATCTTATTACAGTTTCCAAAACCAAAATTTGCTATATATATATGAAATATCTTTCATATCTTGAGTTATATTGGCAATTGGTATAATTATAGTGCATTAGTTTTGTTTCCATTTTACGACACATAACTGCATGCTCAGCGCTTCTTCTTTTAAGTTGAAAAACATCTAACATGCAACTAATCAATTATTTAAACATTATCAAACACATGTTTGATATTTGTAAAGAATAAAATAAATGGATTTCTGAGGCATAATATGCATTTAAAAAGCTACAATTTCATATACAATGTACTAAAATCGTCGAATTTCTAAGAAAATGGTATATTAGGAGACAGTATGTTTTGATCCTCACAGTTAAACAACCATTCTAGATGACCATAGTGCACAAGAAAGACAGTAATACATAAAATGTTAATTCAAAATCACAAACACAGCTCCGTCCTAAGTGCGCAGCAAATGCACATTTAATGTGTGGCATTGATCATAGATATATTTAACAACAAAAACATAGTACCGCTGAGTACCGCTCAAGCCGATTTTAGTCGGCATGAGGGGTGTTGCATAATTCATTATGCCTCAATCAAAGTGTCCAATATCCATCTAATTTTGTTGTGTTTAATACTTCCGAGGGATCACTTTTCTTCCAGTTTTTCAGGAAAAAGAACAATATAGGTAACAAATGTGAAAATAGGGCTGTCACGTTTATCGTTTAAACGGATACGGTCGGTTTTCAGCAAAATAGTAAGTAATTAGACAGGGTGCCGACTTTTTTAAAGAAATTCATTCAAAACAATAGCTTAATTTCTAATAACAAGGTATGACATTCTTTTTGTATATCAGTTGTTTTCTCCGACTGCATGCAAAATGATTGTTTACGGCGGTACGATTACAACAAAAGACGAACCAAATGTCATATCTTGCCATGAAGAGACAAAGTTAATGTTGAATATATAAGAATTCTATTACTAGAGTCGGTTAAAGTTTTAACAAGGTTATCAGGTCGCCGAATAAACGTTTGTCATTTTTGTTAATCGTGACACCCCTATGTGAGAACAAAAAGACGGTCTTTAACATCTTTCTGTTGTCTCGCAAAATTTAATGACAAGACATATTAAATTTAGATGGAAACGACATGATTTATCTTAAGCTTGAAGAGAAGTATGTCATTTTGCCACCAAGTTCAGCCGTACGTAATGTTTGTTTTTTTTTTTTCTGGTTGTTTTTTTTACAACATTTCGACTGATTCTTTCTTTATAGCTCGTAGTTTACATCTGTCTATATATAAAAGAAGCATTGGGGTGTGCTCATTATCGTTTACATCTCCATTCAGATTTTGCAAGCATTTTCCTTCCAAATATACTCTGTAGTAATTCTTGTAAATTTGAAATTCAAAAACATTTACCATTAATATATCAACACAGCTTATAAAATTGTTCTTTTTTTCAAAAGTGAAACCAAAAGGTTTAACATACACAAAAATGGATTCTAAAAATCATTTGTTTTATGATGCCACCTGCTTAAAAAAGTAAGTCCTATTTCATCATTCGCAAAATAACGTTATTTCAATATAGGGCAGAACATTTTACTGTATGGTACACTATATGATATAATTTGTTACTCGTAGCAAAGACGTACTGGTTTACCAAAATCACCAAATTTAAAATAAAATAAGAATAAGCATTGCCCTGAGTATCGTATCATTATTTTGCTTTATAACGTGTTAAGTACGCAAAGGGGGAGTATCAATAACGCCCAGTCATACATGGAGCACATTTTGAAGCCATATATTGCCGCCGAAGCTGATTTCACTTGCTTAGCCGAAAAGTAACTATCAACACACACTTCCTGAATTGTAGGCTCTGAATTATTTACCTGCCAAGACACACTGTTGGGACCTTTAAAAACATTGTTTAGTCCTAATGTATGTACCTCTTCCATAGGCAATTCTATCGTTGGGCAATATGACAGAATTGATGCATCTATAATTCTGGCATCTTGACAAAAAGATATTACTGATTCGGTCAAAAGGTTGAAACCTGACATGAAACGGATGTCTTCGAAAATAAGAACCATTGATATGCGGCTGATTGTACCTTTGTGTCTAAATTGTAGAAGAATTTCTCTCTTTGTGGCTATTTTTCGTATCCTTTCCAGTAAAGTATTATACGGACATGTATTTGTTGCATATATCTCGTAGCGGAAATAAAATTTTGATGTTGGAGTATTTTTAATGAACAGTG